TTTTTGACTCAAATTTAAATTGATTTGATCTATATTTCAGTGACACGTCTTTACAATAAATAAATATATATTAAAAACTTTAAAATTGATTGCATTTGTTGTGGAAATCATGTCATGAAAGGGAGAGAGAGAGAGTTGTAAAAATATAAGATATAACGAATCAAATTATATAAACAATAAGTGCAAAACCCATGAAATCAAATCATTTTGCGTATATTTTTCTTGAAAGAGAAACACTTATATTTATATATATTTTAGGAATCGATTTATACAATACTCTCACGAATACAAATGCATTGCAAATCGGAAGTAAAACCTTAGGATATATTTTTGTTTTCTCATACACTGTATATATAAATATTATTTTTTCTTATTTCTATTTTTCTCACTCCTTGTGCGCCAAACCAGCAGTGCTTGCGGGCAGTGGACGGCCAGGCCTTCCCATCACTACAACTAGCGCTTAAAAATACAAACTTTTCTTAATGTTTAATGTGTTGATTGGCTGTAAATACACGTTTCTATTATAACACAAATAACATGAATACATTTCATACGTTATTTTATATCACTATTCTGTACACAAAAACATTTTCAAAATAAATTTTTGAAATAAGAAATAAAAGTGTCGCCAAAAAATATAAATACTTTAAGGGCTTTTACGGCACACATACACTATTAATATGTGTTTTGGTTGTGATCTCAAAGGATAGATGAGAGAGAGAGATAGATAGAGAGAGAGAGAGAGAGAGAGAGAGAGAGAGAGAAGGAAGAGTAGTAAAAGAATTTGAAGCCAATATAAAGTGAATGCCTATAAAATTGTTCCTTTGATACGAATTATTCAATAGTCAACAGAGGCTTCCAAACGAATAACTCAGATATTTATGTGTCTATCAGTTTCACTATGAAAATCAATATATACTACAAGAATATATATAACATGTTATATTGAATACATTGTTTGAACCACTTTCTTGCCAGTCATATACATACGGCTTAAAAACACAATATATTACAATAAGTGATGGTTTATTAGAAAATGCATTATTTTGCTAAAAGAATATATTGTTTGTGTATATAATTAGTGTTTTTCACTCAATTTAATAGTGTATATAAAACTCGTAAACCCATCCATACATTGATAAATAGTTTACATTCTCGAGTCTTCTGGTGAAGCCATTCAATGAATAATTGAGTTTCAATTTACAAATTTGATTGAATAAAGTGTTGTTTACTGCGGAAGTAATGATCAAAATGGTATTCAATTGCATATACATTACTGTTTGTAAATAAATTCATTAGTGTTTGGATTTTTGACTATAAATACATTAAATGAATAATTCATTTCACGGGTCTATTAATTCTGAAAAATTTTCAAATTTATAAATTATCCAAAACTTTAATAATTCAAATATAGTAATAAAATTATTGTCTATTACATGCCTTTAATCATAAATATAATTAATTTATAACTTAAAAGCAAACACAAACATATTTGTCGAGTTGACTGCAGATTATTTTAATGCACGGAATAATTATGTTTCATAGCATAGTTTTAATCTCTATTGCATGCATACACTCATTGGGATTATATGTAAATTAATTACAAATAAACGGAAAATATAAAATGAAAACTTTTTTTTTTGAGAGAGAGAGAGAATTTGGTGGCGAACCTTATCCACAGAATAAGCAGAGAATATAAGAGAAAAAAACTGAATGAAATAAAAGTGAACTTCACTTCTATTTCAATGATTAATGTTTTGTAAGTATAAGAAATTGAAAAGTAGTTCACAATTTCTCTCTCGCTATACATCTCTATGTGTGTTGTATTTCGTCGATTCCCCCAAAAGCCCACATAAATAGCATGTGATGTGAAACCCATCTCAACAGTCATTATAATTCCAATTCAATCACGAAATTCTCTCTCGATTTTAAAACCATCTCAAAGTAAACCAAACTTTTACTGATCTCTTCGAAAACGGATATAAGAAATAAGATTTTATATGATATATATTATAGTTTAAGTGTTTCAATCAATTCTTTATTACTTAAACCTGAAGTGCATTAAAAGTCTTAAAAAATATTAAGTAAATGTTTGCTGAGAAAAGAAAGAGTCGATCGGAAATGAAAATAAAAATATAGAGTCGACCGAAAGGCTCCGAACAATACAACACATACTGTATTACACAGTGTTTCCCTAATCCAGTCATTTAATACATTATATGTTTTTATGGTTTTTATTGTATCAACATTAAATCCTAAAAACCATATCCAATATATAAATATCGATATATTGTCGACAATAACCGTATGATTGCAATGATAGAGAAAATTGGTAGACATTAAGAATTTACTCCTTATATATTAAACCCTTAAATAATTTAACGAACACTTCGTGAAGAGTTTTTTACTTTAAAATAGTAAAAAATGATTGAAAACTCTTCCGTATTCTTCAACAACGAAAGAACCAAAATATTATGTTTTGAATGAAATATTTATTTATATTTTAGACAAAGAAAATTTATAACACTTTGGATTTCTGTTGTCATTTTGATATATAAAATATATTATCATAAAATATAAAGTCATTTCTTAGTTTATACACACATCCATATACTCTCCAGTATTTTCTGTGTGTATGTCTGATATCTATGTTATGTTATATCAGATTCTTATATACAATATTTCCATTTCAGAAACTCATATTTCAGTTATGAAAAGCTGTCTTGAATTTAATATAAGGTATAAAAACAGCAAAAATAGATATTCAGTATATTATATAATATCATATATTCTCAAACCCAATAGCAAAGAGTGATGTTTTGCTTTTAGATATTCTTTTGGCTAAACTTTTATTTCCATTTAGAAAATTCTTAATTTTTTGTTAAACAAATTTTATAGTTATTTCAAAGTCTAAATCTTCTAGGAAATTTGTATTTAATATATTGTATTGTATTTATTATAATATTTAATAAAACTATATGTACTTTGTATATATTTATGCTATAAATAGTAATAAATGTTATACATGAACCGGCAAATACTCATAATTTTAACTAAAACTCTATATAAACTCAATGCATTGAATGCTCCCAGGAGTACTCAATGCCGGTCCATGGTTATATATTTGTTAAATAATCACTAAATTGAGCTTAAAAATAGATTTCAATTTTTAATATGAATACTGTATTCATATTATATAAAAAGCATTTCGCAAATGCAAATCCATTTATCTATAAATATTATATTGAGGCCCTGAGTGTAATTTTAACCATATTATATTTATAAGAATAAACAATAGATAGTTAAATAAAAATATTAATATTAATGTATAATAGGAGTTATAATAAAACAAAATGTATTAAAAATTTAATATTTGATGCATTAGTGCAATGGTTTGAGAAGAGACAAACAATTTGCACTACTCATGACATTATACAAATGTATGATTGGTAAATAAAAACATTTCATGTTATATGTGAACAGAGCGTATATTTTTATCCCGATTATAGAGTTTAAGAATCAGTGTGTTTAACCACTTTGTCAAATTAAATTCTCTCTCTCTCTCAAAAAAAAAAGTTTTCATTTTATATTTTCCGTTTATTTGTAATTAATTTACATATAATCCCAATGAGTGTATGCATGCAATAGAGATTAAAACTATGCTGAATATCTTATTCTCATTTATTTCTAAATAATATTTTGGAATTTTTAAAATATCACATTTTAAACAACTATGTTAATTGTGTGATCAGTTTAACCAAATAAACCGTACAATAAACAGCACGTAAATCTACATCAATGTAGATACGCTGGTATGTACAGGGTGTATTTTATTCGCCACAAAGTCAAAAGCCATTTCTAATAATATTATTGGTCAATGTTATATTTCACATTAAAAATATGGAAACACTAGCTCTTGAATTTCTGGTGATATCTCTAGTAAACTATACACTCTGTATAATATACTTTCATACGACAAATATTTACATAAATACTTAATAAGTGTTCAGAATTGTATAGTTTGTATAGAAAATGCATTTTTTAGTGATAAGAAAAATGTATTTAAAAATGTAAACATTAGGCGATCATAGATAGTAACAAACAGTGATTAATAAAACTAAACTACAGCTAAAGCTTTGCATAATAATAATGTCGTTAGCGTTACTAAAGTACTTTGATAAGTTGTTAGCAAACCTGAGCATGGTCGTTGATATACGTGTCCGCTGGCGTGTTTGATGGCAACGCCGGTCAGGTTCTGGAGACTACAGTTAAACCTCGATTCCCAGAACTCGCGAAACCAGGGATTCCTCGTATTGTTGACCGCACTTAAGTTGAAATAGTAGTCATCGAAGTCCAGAGAATATGGAGAGAATATTCGCACTGTTATACTGCCCACCGCTTCTTCTTCCACGCCCTGAACCACATCGGGTCTGTCAGACCAGCCGTCACTTCAATGACATACAAAGTATATGTATTAGAAAACATCATAAATATATATAAAAACCATAAACAATGAATAAGAAGAAAATAGATAATGTTTGTCAATCAATAAACATATAGCAATAAATGTAATGTCTGTCTGACTGTTGAACGGATAACATAATGTTAGACACGAGTTATGTTTAACTATATGTTGTTTTTTCTTTATCCGTGTTTTTCTGAGGTTTTTCTCTGTGTCCACAACTGAATGAAAAGGCATTTATTTTATATAACTTTTATATATAAAGTCTGTCTTTCCCTCTATTCTCCTATAAGTCGTATAAATGTGTAATAAAACAGTTGACGAGAAAAATGAGTTAAAACTTTAGAGTTTTTGCTGAAATTTTGTACTTCAAATTGTGTGGACTTTTATTATTATTTTTATTACTATTATTATATACTATTATTGTTAAAAGTTGTCATTCATTGGACGGTATTTTCTTCAAAGATTAATGATATTTCCTTTTAGTGAGGAGAGAGAGAGATTGTGTGAGACGACTGTCAGGTTTGGCAGCACTAGAATTGTGTGTTTGAATTATCTTTATATATATGATGACAATCCCCGAAGACGTTAATTCTTCTTTAAAATAGATTCGGTTTTTAGNTCTCTCTCTCTCTCTCTCTCTCTCTCTCTCTCTCTCTCAACATCTGTATAGATTTGATCCAAACTATTGTCAATACATGTTTGACACAAAATAGTATGAAATATTAATTTAAAGATTGAATTATTTGTTACGATTTTCGTGACTAATTCAGTGTCAATATTATTGTATTCAGTATTCAATTGTTGGTAAAAATGCCTTCAAATAACACAATAATCTATTATTATATTCAATATAAGGAAGTATTAATATTTCACAACCAAATTCTTCCTTCTTTTTTATAACAAATAAATCTATAAATGTTTTCCAAATCTATTTATATATCGCATTAAATAATACGATTGTATTTATATATTGCCATCAGATTTGAATATATTTGCCATTTCTATGCAATATTTATGTTCATCTCTTATCGGAGACTATTTCCTCAATTCCTGTCACAAGAAAACTAGAATATAATAAATTTTTGATGAAATACTGGACATTTGATGCGAGCATAAAGTTTTTATACGCAATGATTTCTACATTTATGGCATTATATTAAACATCAATACTAACAAAGCGTACATTTGATAGACAAACCAAACCACTAACCATAACGTGGGCAAAAAATCAATCATAAAAACGTGCATGATGAACCAATTGAATAATGGCCATACCTGCCGACCCATAGGAACTCTCCGGCCAGACCGAGCCGTTTGGTCGCTCTGAGTAGAGCCAAGACAGTCATGCCTTCGCAAAAACAGGCGACCACTCGTGCGTTACGATAGGGCTGTAGGTTTCGGATCACATCATCGAAACGGGTGTCGTCTCCAGAACTCGGAGCGGATTCTGTGTATGCGATACAAATGCCCTCATCCTGTGCTAACCCTTTGAACACATCCATCAAAGAGCTCCCATAATTGCCTAAATAAACATACAATTTAATCAACAATTTGTGTCATTACATGTGTGTCGTCTGTATTTTTAGTGTGTCTCTAGTTTTTGATTTATTTATATACAGTATAAGGGCTCTCTCTCTCTCTCTCTCTCTCAACAAATTTAATCACAATATTTACACTTTAATTGATTAGTGATTTTCGTGCTCATAATTAAATATCGATTTTATTTTTTTTGTACATTAAATACCATATATTCTTATCAAATATAATGTAAGACATAAATCGTTGCACAGAATTTAAAATATTTTTGTGTTGTTTTTTATATCTCATGTGTTGACGAGATGTGGACAAAAGGAAAAACCAATTATTTCCACATTAAACTAATTATTACTAATTTTTGTGATATATTTTCAGTTAAATTAAATAACAATTAAGGCAACAGAATATGCAATGAGTACCCAAAGCGCCTATACGTCGCGCTGCACAACATTACTGTCGTGTTTGGCAGTGAAGTGTTGTTTAAGTCGAAGCCTAGGCTTTGAGAATACAATGTCGTTATGAATACAATGAACTGCTTTTTACACTCCCTTTCATGACATGATTTCCACAACAAATGCAATCAATTTTAAAGTTTTTTTATATATATTTATTTATTGTAAAGACGTGTCACTGAAATATAGATCAAATCAATTTAAATTTGAGTCAAAAATGTCTATTTTTATAAATAAAATATAATCTCAAATTGAGATAAAGAACTTCGGTTTCAAATGATTTAGATTTGCCTATCAATTGAGAGAGAGAGAGAGAGAGAGAGAGAGAGCCCTTATACTGTATATAAATAAATCAAAAACTAGAGACACACTAAAAATACAGACGATAGAGAGAGAGAGAGAGAGAGAGAGAGAGAGAGAGAGAGAATGCAAATTATGTCCACAATAAGCATATAAAATATATTCAATACAACCCAACGGTTACTATAAATTGATTCAATTTTAAATTTACAATTTCTTGTTTATTGACATTAATTCAATACAAAAAATCAAGTGTAAAAAATGTATGAATTAGTTCACTAAATATGAATTATGTATTGTATTTATTGGTCAAAAAGGGACATATATTTGACATTTTCAAAGTCAACCCATAATATGTTTTGAGATATTAACGAGGTTTAAAAATTTCAAAATATCACAAATAATTCATTATAAAAAATAATAAATACATTTATCATTAATATTGAATCGATGATTGATGTCTGACTTAAACGGAAAGCTTATCATAATATTAATTCAATAGATTTGTTAAAAATAAAATTATATAATTCAAATATTTTAAAACTTTCAAACTAAACTTTAAAATTGATTTTGATAAAAATATGTTGTCTCTATTTTTACTGAAATAATATAAGCAAAAAAACGTTTTGCATTAAATTGAATGCGAAATGTATTCAACATTTGAAAGACACGATTACATCGATGGACAACATCTTTGAGAATATAATGTGTAAAACCTATGCTTTGATTGTTAAAAATGATAGTCGACTGTAACGGACAGTCAGTCAACGATCAGATGATAGCATTTGAAATGATTGTCGATTGAACTGACAATTGTCTGCTAAAAATTGTCGCTTATATAACACAAGAGTATTGTATAAAAAAAAGTATTTTTACAATAAATGACTTAAATTACATGAAACTCAACAAACTTTTTTGTTTAAGAAAAAGCATATAAAACAATATATGAAACGATAAGTTTAAAGATGGTAATTATGATAGAAATTACAATGTTTTTATGATATTTATAGCAATCAATTATAATGATTGTAATTGGTTTTATG